GACTAATCTTGTTTCAGAGAAAAGGATTTCAATCTTGATCTTAACTGCTCTTTCCCTACACAATATGCTATGGTTTCAATTTTATCTTTAATATTAATTCGATTCCCAGTAACTCCTTTTCTCTGTGACTAATCTTGTTTCAGAGAAAAGGATTTTAATCTTGATCTTAACTGCTCTTTCCCTACACAATATGCTATGGTTTCAGTTTTATCTTTAATATTAATTCGATTCCCAGTAACTCCTTTTCTCTGTGACTAATCTTGTTTCGGAGAAAAGGATTTCAATCTTGATCTTAGCTGCTCTTTCCCTACACAATATGCTATGGTTTCAATTTTATCTTTAATATTAATTCGATTCCCAGTAACTCCTTTTCTCTGTGACTAATCTTGTTTCGGAGAAAAGGATTTCAATCTTGATCTTAACTGCTTTTTCCCTACACAATATGCTATGGTTTCAATTTTATCTTTAATATTAATTCGATTCCCAGTAACTCCTTTTCTCTGCGACTAATGTTGTTTCAGAGAAAAGGATTTCAATCTTGATCTTAACTGCTCTTTCCCTACACAATATGCTATGGTTTCAATTTTATCTTTAATATTAATTCGATTCCCAGTAACTCCTTTTCTCTGTGACTAATCTCTCCATTCTTATTTCGTCACAAACTGTCGCTGTAATCATCAATCTCCTTTGTTTCTTCAGTAACTGATGATATTAAATGATATTTTCATTGTAATTTAGTTTCACTATACTTTACTTTCGAATAACTTTCGACTCTAACATATCTTCCTTTTTTCTGGCATCATTTTTCATTTCCTACCAAAACGATTTCACAATATTTCGATGAAAACGTCATCCATGTTCAGATCTAATTCTCAATATTCGACGAAATCCTTTTCTCATTGAAATTTTCAAACTGGCGAATGTTATTAGAGGTCTTGAAGGGGATCAAACTGAAAATTAAGAATGAGACTTTTTTTAAAGTAATAATAAGCATCCTAATAAATTGCCCGATTATTGAAAGGTATTAATTTTAAAGCATACGAAGTCTAAAGCTCAAAATAAATTCGCCCTAAACATTTTCGCTTTCAGTTTAAAACGTTCGAAATAACCTAGACATTTTGGAGTCCTTTTAAAACATAGCATACACTAATTTTACTGCCGATGCAGGAGAAGGCATGAAATTTGGCTCAAAGGTTTTTTATCTATGCAGTTTTTCATGATTCGCAGATTAAGATTTTATGCGATTTCTTTCCCTGCAGTCATTTATTAATAAAACACCCTTTATCTAAAAAGAAAGTCATTACAATATTTATTGCCTACAATATATTCCTAAAGCTTAATAAAACATCTCTGGAATGCATCCCGACACTGCCAAAGGAAATATGTTTAAATTGAACTGAATCAAGCTTTACAGAAAAGATAGTTTATATATATAAAAACCACTTATTCGTATCATCCATAAGAAATCAACAAAACATCAGATATGTTTATATAATTTCTACTTTCCATAACGGTTTAGTAAATGCCTTTAAATAAAATAAAAAACAGTTTAAAAAACCACAATTAAAAAGCAAACAAACTAGCCGACAATTTAAAATGGGATACCTGCAAGTGACGTAGTGTGGGAGTCTCGATCCTGATTGGTTGTTGAAACGTAGCATTTGTATACGTTAGTAACTGCTCTTTCCATTCTATTTCGTGTAATCCAAACCCATGAAGCATCAATTTTCTTAAGTGATACATTCTGCATTCTTACGCAAATAATCTTTCACAAAGATTTCAATTCTATCACTTCATTTTTCTTACACAACACAAAAGACAGGCAAGAAGCCATGTAGAACATAAATTAATTTTGCATTAAAGTTGTCAGGTACACAAAACAAAAATATATCACGAAAAAAAATGCATAGACAAATAAACAAATAATAAATATAAGTTAGGTATACGAGGAATTACATTTCAACACTAGGAGGAATTACATTTTAACAAATTTGATGTGTGATACGGAGCTGTTGTGGCTAACCCTCTAAATGTCCGACGCAGTCAGACAAGGTGAATCTGACCGTTGACCCTAAGAAAATCGTTGACCAGATGAGTATATGTCCTCTCTGTAAATTCTCAAACAGTCCAGGAACGACACTGTAATTTAATTCACGTTAATTAAAATTTTAACTTATAGGGAGAAACTTAGCTTAACCTTAACACGCTATTTTACTTATAAACGATCAGCTTGTGCTGACGCCATAGGTCCACATGTGGGTATCCTCGATCTTCTTCTTCGTGAAGTGCAAGTACCCAAATGTCTGCTTCTATTATATCATTGCTAATCTCGTTGTACTGTCTTTCTATTTATGCTTGTGCTAGTTGGATACTTTTAGAACCTTACAGGAAAGACGAAATGAGTAATATAAAATAATTTTTTCTTTGTCCATTAATTTTTAGAGTACTTTTATTTCTCTGTTGCAGTTATTTAAGTCCTTTTTTTACATGTTATTAATTTAGAACAATTTGTTTAGAATAAGTTTATGCTCAGCAATTCAGTTTTCGCTTAATATGTCCTAACGACCTCGTTGTTTTTCTTTGAAACAGTAAATTATCTCTACCAAGAGAAATCCTCCCTGATTCAAATGATACAATACAAAGAAGTTAAATATGTGAAAAATGAATTTTTTTCAATTCGCCTCTAATCAGCAAGCTTCACGCTTGACACAAATGAGTTATGCATGCATCTTTATTTAATTTGTTCCTTTGTACACAATATCTTGAAATGCGTGTTACAAATATTGCGGAATTCGGTTTAAAACTGCAAATTTTTATTAAGATCATGTAAACAAAAAAAAAATTACTCATTAAGCTTTCTATTTTATCTATTTCAGCACATTATTCATCGTTTTAATCTGCTTGGTGGTACTGGGAACCTCATTGGATATTCTTTTCAGAAATAAACCAAAACGTGATTTTCAAACAAATAACAAGAGTAAGTTTTTTTTTAAATATATCATTCATATATCATCAGCACATTAAGTAACACGTTAATATTGTTTTTAATTCCAGGCACAGCAATAAAGGCATTATTATGCTTTTCTGCATACACAAACACTATTAGACTTTTAAAGGTTGACAACAATCCAGATACTCTACACATATTCCATGGTCTTCGAGTATTCTCTATGACTTGGATAATATGGAGTCATTCATATCTTGTTTGCAGTTACCGAGCATTTGGTAAAAATTTCAACCTCATTCATCCTTTACAATGTTTATCATTTTATTGATAGAAATCTTTAAATAAATAAACAAAATGAAATAACATAACAAAAGTAAGAAACGGTAAAGCGGAAAATGACGTGACACAAAAATCTGCAGATATTTGAAAAATAATATGAATAAGACAATATCCTAGACCACGGGCGACTAAAAATGCAAAAATGTGCTAAATAATAACATGAAAATTTTTTTTATTTAAGAGATAAAAATTAATAACTCTTCACAATTTTTTTTAAATTTTTTGAATGTAAATACAAATGCAATATTATTTTAATTTGAATATAAATGATTTGAAATGCCAGTTATAGTGGTAGTTACGATTAAATAATTTAAGAGATAATTAAATAAAAATGAATTGAGTTTCTACCACTTTTTACATTTTTAGTCGCCTGGGGCGTTCTTTTCTCATCCTGATCTGTTTTCCTTAAATGTAATTTATAAGATTTCGAAAGTGTTTTTCTCTAGATAAATTTTAAGGATTTTCTAGTTCTTGAAGAAAAAAATATCCGTGAAAAAGTTCTCATCCGTGGCCTCTCTGATGATTTTAGTACAGATGAAATTTCCCTCGAACTAGGAAAGCGGAACATCGAGATCCTGAAAATTGTCCAGTTTAGGAAGAAAGTGGGTGGAGCCTTTAGGCCCCCCCGTACCTCATCGTAATGCCAATGCTAGCCAATCACGAGATGATCTACCATATTGAGAGCATCAAGCAGATCCCGATCAGCATAGAGAAATACCACGGCGGCCGACGGCCGCTGCAGTGTTTTCGATGTCAGAGTTTCTGTCACACTCAACGCTCCTGCTCCTCCAGCCCAAGATGTATGAAATGTGCCGAAGGGCACTATTCATTTCAGTGCAGAAGGAGCCGAGATTCCCCAGCTAAATGTTGGAATTGCATGCAAAACCACATCTCAAATTTCACTGGGTGCGAGGCCCGCCCCAGTCGAAAGAGGAAAACGACCAAAGACACGCCTACTTCTACAGTACACAGACTTGTTAGCCTCATCAGTGAACTTAAAGACTTGCTGAAGGACCAAGATGTGCTGCATCTTCTCACGACTTAAATCCAGCGGAACTCCCCATCCAACTGATGTACTACTGAATCCACTCATGCCTCACCTCATCATGGACTTATTATCTGACCCTATCTTAGAACTTTGAACTTCATATGACATCTAATCTAAATGCTAAAGGCAAAATGACCCCGAACGCCACGAAAACGTTCTACTCGGACAGGAATCCTCTGTATATCTGTGATTATGAATACTTTCAGGTGATTCTAAAAAATCACCTGAAATCACTGAGGTACTCTGGAGGAGNATCTTAGAACTTTGAACTTCATATGACATCTAATCTAAATGCCAAAACAGTATAGATGAATAGGTTAGAAGAGCTTCGCGCTTAATGCCAAGATTTCCTACATATCAAGCATCTCGTTCGTGGTGGGGCCTCCCTGGCAGAACGGTATCATCCGCTCTGGGTGCATCTTCGTGCTGTCCTTCTTTTTGACTGTGATTTATAAACCTAAATTTAGCAATCAAGACTGCAACTATATGTAATTCCACTAAACCAATCCAATAAACTCTTTCGTGATGAGGTTTTTTGGTAATTTTGGCAAAATTACCAAAATTTTTTAAAACGCTCTGGTTTTTAAATGTTTAATACTCTATGAAATATTTTGCAAAATGCGCAGTAGTTAGTAGCCCCGTAAATGTAAAAATTAATAAAGTGTTAGTGTATGGTTAACAAAACTAATAAAATTTCTTTTTCGCGTCAAAGAAATGAAAGCTAAATTATCAAACGAGTGAGCAAAATGTTAAGCATAAACAATTAAACGTCTTAGATACGTTTTATAAACGAAGATCGACATTATATGTTTTTCTTTTTCTAAGATCATTATTTTATTTTTACGAATTTATTTTACGAGCTTACAGAGTAAATTCTCTACCTGGGGTTATTGGTTTAAATGATTATAATACAGAGATGCCAACTGCTCCGGATTCGACGAATTATCTTATAACACGGTAGTGAAAAAAAAACTTAAATACGCAGATTTTCGGTTAAATTTGCTAACTGTTTACAAGGCTCAACACAGGTTAACCGTTACTTACTTACTTTATTTACAAAAATTGAGCACCTGGGCCGCGTAGCGACCCCCATCCCATGCATCTAGAAATTTACAAACAATTTAAAGTAATAATGTTTCGAGTTTAGCAGTTGATGTGGTAGCTAATACAAAAATACAAGCACTTTGCTTGAGTAAATATAACATTTGAGTATCGAATCTAAATTGGCACATATATTGACATATATAAATATAAACATAATTTGAAATATGTATGCATAAGTTGACATAAATAAATATTTCTTTCTTTTCTTTATTTAAACAAAACTGGGTGCCTAGGCCGCGCAGCGACCCCTACCCCATATAAATAAATATTAGAATAAATTGGTACATATTTCACTAATTAAATTTCTATATTTAACTGGGACATGTATAATAATGAAAGTCTAAAATTTAGAGTTCAATGCTGACACGAAAAGTGTAAGTCCTGAATTGGGAATAAAAACATCACTGAGCTAGAGAAGTCTCTCCTAGGATCCTCTGTAAAAGAAACACTTCTTCATTTTTTAGAAGGTCTTGGAGCTCTTTAACAAGTGATACGAGTCTGTGTGCTAGTTTAGATGGTGTGGATGGAGCATCTGGGAGGTGCATTGCATATCCGTTGAGCTTGGCCGCATTCCTGGCAATTAAAACATTGCAGTGGACCCCGAACGTCACGAAAACGTTCTACTCGGACAGGAATCCTCTGTATATCTGTGATTATGAATACTTTCAGGTGATTCTAAAAAATCACCTGAAATCACTGAGGTACTCAGGAGGAGAAAAGTGTTTTGCCCTCTGTACCAAGTGCTCTTCGGCCCAGGCATCCCTTGAACATCTACTGGACTGCCTCGGTCTTTTAAAACAAGACCTTATAGAAAGACCCTTACTTGTTTTAGACTTTCTGAAGGTGAACAANTATGTTGGTCCATCAATGAAAACCATCAAAAAAATTTTGACTTTAAACTGGATTACATTATGGTTTTCAATGTTTAATTTCTCTAATTCAAGGGACATATTCTCGGTCTTTAAGTTAACGGGCAGTTCACGGATTAAAACTTTTGGAAACTTAATATGCAGCTCTTTCTTTGTTGTTGTGGGAGGATCTGGAACTTTGTTGGAATCCTTCTTGGGTGGAGCTTTGTAGGATTTCTCTTTAGTTTCTGACAGTACTAAGATAGTGGCGGTCTCTAGCGGCGAAGAAGAGCAGCTATTAGTAGTCGTGGATGTGTGATTATCTTCAGCTTTTTTGACATCAGTTAGCTTTTTTTTCTTCTTTTTTCTTCTTCATTTTCCTTTTCTTTGCAGGAGGTTATGTGTTGTTTTTGTTGATACTTTCCGATTTCTTTACTCTGTTCCATATTCTGGTCTCCGTCATTGATTTCCAAAATTGGGTCGACAGCTGATGAAGTCGGCGTTTCAGGCGTGATTTGTTCAAGTACCGGAGCAGAATTGGCCGAATAATAAGGTCTTGTAGCTCCTTCGGGCACTGTAAAATCGCGGATCGTGCAAAAACTTCCTCTTTTGGAATAACAGTAGAAGTGTCCATATTCATCTTCAAAAATTTCACCTGGCTTAGCGTCTGACTTTATGTAGTTGGGATATATCACTGGTATTTCAATTCTCTTGATGGGCGTGTGAATAATCTTGTGTCCATCTCAGTTTTCTTGACCTTGAACTCTGGGGTGCAGGAGCAGATGTTCAGGTTAGGTGGTCACCCGAACACGAAAACCCCCAGTATTTAGTTCCCAGGCATTCTTGGTACTCATTTATCGACCCACTGAAGAGGTGAAAGGTTGAGTCAACCTTGCCCAGCCCGAGGATCAAATCCAGGACATGTGGCACGGGAGCGCGAAGCTCTACCACTCAGCCACCGGGTGTCACATTAAAAATACTTCCACTGGAAAATATTGATTTGTCCGGAGCAAGTTGGCATCTCTGATAGTACAGATGGCAGAGCTGACAAAACTTCACTTCACTTACCTATCCACTAGCCGTTCATCAATGATCAATCAGTTACATCAAGCAAACAATAGGAACACGTTTTTCTGAACAGGAAAGCAAATCGTACAATTAGAATAAACCATTGCAGTTGATTTCTTTCTTTCAAGTGATATAGTTTAGCCTCAGGCTTGGATATTTCTTTTGCCGACTGGCATTAAAAAAATTAAAAGAAACTTTTAACTTTAACAGCTAAATTTGATTGGTACAAACTTTGCAATGTTGCAACAATTATACCTTTTCTAAAAAAAAGAAACAAAGATATTAAAAGTGTGAAAAAAATCATAATTTTTCGTTTTCAAAATTATTTTAGGTAAAATATATGTATTCGTATAATGAAGAAAGTTTATTCAAATGAATTACATTTTGATGCTTGATATCGTGATTTCACAACTTAATTAATAGTTAGCTACATAATTAGCACATTTGAGGTCAAACACTTTTGCCATTTAGTACGTGAAAACCTACGTATTAGGTGAAAAGCTATTTGAGGTGATATCTTTCTTTTCCTTCCTTATTTTATTTTATTGTCATATGCTTACTGTTCTTCATCGGATGTTATATATTCTGTTTTGTTCTATTTTAGATGGAGGCTTTCGCAGCAGAAGCTTAGGAAAAGAATTTATCTTCCAGACTGTACCCTGGGGATTTTTAGCGGTTGAAAACTTTTTCTTTATGAGGTAAACTTCTTTTATCTTCACCATTAAAATTTATATGATGGCCTAAATTCATCCTTTTTCTATTTATCTCGTAAAATTTAACACTCTGGTTTTGGAGTAAAAAAATAAATAAATATTTTGTGTTATAGAAAAAGAAGCATACAAGCGGCAATTGGCCTGAGCTTTATGTCTTTTTTTCTTCTTTCAAATTTCAGAATGTAAAAATTTCATTAGAATTCTTAATATTAACCCCTTGACATACGAAGACGTCTGGGAGACGTCATTTGTTTCTTATGTCAAAACAATAATTGACGTGTCTCAGACGTCTTCACAGAGATGCCAACTTGCTCTGGACAGCAAATAAATATTTTAAAGTGGTAGTTTACAGTCCACAGGAAGGTCATAGGTTATATAAGAGATATTATCGGCACAAGGATGCTTCCTGGGGCCAAACCTGTGGTAATTTTTCTAACTGTTAAATTTGTACTTTTAAAATTAACTTGAAAGGTTCTGTTAAATAAGTAGGCCTATATAAAGACTCAATATTAAATAATTATGAATTAACTACCACTTTAAACAACAGGCCTGCCATCTACTGAACTATATCTTATAGAGTCCTAGAAAGGACCGCAAGGTCTCAGACGCCCAGTTCCATTACACCGAGCGAACGATATAGAGTCCTAAGACATAATTCTTGATGGTTCCATCAAAATATTTGGATAGTTTATGTTGGTTTCAGTGCAATTCATGATGGTCATACATCATTTGATGTTCACCATTATCCAACATTTTCCGTTATGCGTTCATGGGTTTTGATATTCCAAAAAACTTCCATCATTCCATGATGAAAAAAGCTACTACTTTAATACTATGATGGTTAACCATCAAGAGAAGTTTGATTCTCATGGACCAACGATTCATGATGATCCGTGATGGTTCAAAGTATACATTTGCATGATGGTTTAATGGGAATTGTAGTTGAATCTCAGTAATATAGCATCAAAACAATTTGTTTGTTTTTTATGTTGGCCTATCATAAATCAGTCCGAATCACTACATTGGTGTGATGGTGGTTCATGATCGTTCCAACATTTGATTTCTAAGAAACTATGATGGAAATTTCTGATAATTCAACATAAACAAACCATCGAAACAAGTTGCTATTCTGATCTTGGACCATCATAAATCAGACCGAATTCCAACACTTGGGTGATGGTTACACATGTTGTTTACCATCAAAAATATAATGATTCATGATGTTGGTCAATCAATGAAAACCATCAAAAAAATTTTGACTTGGGGGGGGGGGCAGACATTTAATAAAAACCAAAGCTTTCCGAATTTCAGATAATTCCGACATTTTAAAAGAATGACCACGAAAAAGCTGGAACAAAGTGGCGTAGGATATGAACTTTTAAATCATTTGCATGAAGCGTTGTTGAAAATAAGTTTAAATGAATAAAAAATAATATATTAAGACATTAACTTAGCTAACGCTGAATAACTTTATACAAAGAGCGTAGAAAGTTGGCAGCCCTGAAAAAGGGAGTATGAACTACCACTACCATAACTTCTGTTTTTTTTTTCTTGGAAAACATTTCGAGAAAGCATTTCTAGCATTTTCTCAGCATTTTCTAAGTTTTCATTCCATGATAAAAATTTGTTTTTAACCAAATTTTCAATATTTAATGAATTAATAAATGTACCATAAAGAACATTTGAAATGTTGTACTTTCTTTTTTTTTTTCTTATCAAGCTCAGTTCTTCTCTCGTACATTTGCGTCCGAATAAAAGGAAGGATCAGTATGCCATCACTCTTCCTGAAGAGGTATCTCAGGTAATTTACTTCAGTTTCTTTTAATTTTCAGTTTTGCTCTCTCATTCTTTAGGTGCATTCTTTAAAATGTTTAAACTGGTTTAAAAATGGGGTTTTTGTAAAAAATTGTGATTGAGTGTAGTAGATAAAAGCGGCCCCTGACTGAGAAATGTTTTTTTAAAAAAAAGTTAATTTAAGAGAAATTCTAATTTTCTACATATCAGATTGCATTTGCAAATTCAAGAGAAGAGAAATATTTAAGGATTAAAATAGGCTAACTTTTACATTTGAGTGAAATTTAAACCATATAAATTTTCAACCTTCTGAACACTTAAAGGATTTTTTTTTAGTTGTAACTAACTACCTTGCATATAATTTTTTATTTTAGCTGTTATCACATTTTAGCTTATATTTTAAAAAAATTCATATCATTGGAGAAATACTAATCTAAATTTATATTTTTATTAAAAAAAATATTTTGCATTCTTTCTTCTTATCAAAATCATATCGTCGAAAATTTTTACAATCAATTATTTGATATTCAGAAGATTGAAGTAAATTACGAGTGCACTATTTTACAGTGAATGATTGACAATTCGCAAAGTGTTCATCATCGTTTGTTGAAGTATTGCATTGCCAATAGCGATGTCAAAAACAAAGAAGCGCAAATTCCTACAACAATATTTTAATAGCTAAACGTAAAAAGAAGGCAATCGCATAAATAAAGTCTTCAATTTTTGAGGTTTTAAACAAAATTTTTATATGATATTTTTTTATAAAAACTAATTTTTAATTCGATATTCTATCTCCATAGGTTGACTCCAACAATGATGCTAGTTGTAGCTCTCTTTTCGATTATTGGACGTTTTGGCTCTGGACCTCTGTGGAAAGAAATTGTTACTGATTCATTGAGCAAGAACTGCTTAGAACGAGGATGGGTGAATTTGTTTCACGTTAACAACTTTTTTTATTCTTCAAAAACAGTAAGTTTTAAACAGTAATATTTTATGCCAAGTTGTACAGCATTACACTTCTAAATTCGTGTCCCTACTAACTACACGCTCTACTCGCCGCTATGAAAATTGATTACAGAAATGCTTTGTCTGACAGAAACAGTGGTCGAAAAACTACGTTATTTTTGCAGTACAACTACTATTTTGGATATGAAGTGACTACAAACTACTTTTGAAATATGGGTACTACTTCACTACTTTTAGAAGACGAACTTTGCTGGCGAACTTCATTTGCATCCTTGTTTAAAACGATTCTGAATAAAACTTGGCTTATTTAAAAATGAGAAATTATTGAAAAATAGTCATTCAGGTTTACAGGAGCCGGTTTGTTATTCAAAACAATTATTTTTTTACGAATTTATTCTTTTAACCATTATTTTTTATGACCTTAACGACAATACATAATCAATTTAAGAAATGCTAGGAAATAATCGAATACTTGCAATTTCGTTAGTGTTTAATGCTCTTTTTAGTGAAAGAAATAAAGTACACCAAAAATAACAAAGAAAATATGTTCCCTTCCATTAAAATAACATCAACTTTTCATTGGTGTACATTCTTATGGGAAGAGGGCGTTCAAAGTTATAAGTTAGCTAATATTGGTAAATGTTAATATTAGTACTAATATACAATTCTTTTCAATGCTCGGCCACAGGGGTATTCGGATTACATCCATTGACGAACTCGCGAAGATTTTTACCAATGCGATTCGAAAAATTAGTTGCGGTTGATCCTGTTGTTTCTTTCCTTATCTAACGTTAAAAGTAGTTAACAGCAATTGCTACAAACTACTTTTTTTTTTTTTTTTAAAAAAAAGTAACACTACAAGCTACGAAAAAAGTAGCAACAATAGTAGTTTTGCTACTTGTTTAGCGTGCTACTTCTGACCACTGGACATGGTAAATAACTTAAGTCGAAAAAGCAGATCAATCAACTAATGGTAAAAAAAAAAAAAACTAAATACACAATTCGAACAGAGTGAAAAAATATTGCCGAGAATCTCGCTGAATTCGCGTTCGAATTCTAAAGAGGTTTACTAAATATTTTAAGAGTTGACTCAAGGTTGGCAAAATTTCCGAACCTGCACTTTATCTCTTTAGGTGTCTTTCGTGGGGACGAGGCCTAAACTTGTGCCCAAATACCCCATTTTAAGGGGAGGGGGTAAATAATAACGTATTTCAGGTAGAGCTTTTAATTTCTCAAGTTTAAGTATCTTTTATTTATGAATTTTATTTAGTTTAACTTGTGTTTAGATCATTTTTCTGAAATATTTTTTTTATATTTAGTTTGCTGATAAACCCTCTAGGTTTCTCTTTAATTTCTTTTTAAACCCTCTAGAGGTCACTCTAGTTCACTATTAAATCCTCTAGGAGTCCCTCCAGTTTATTGTTGTTAAAAAAGTCTGATGCTTATGCAAGTATTACTTTACGTAATTACATAAATAGTACCATGCGAGTTATAAGATAAATTCCAACGGAGATATAAAATTACGCACCGAACTGTTTCCATGGAAACTAGTTGGAACCTTAATTGTGTATAATATGAAAAAAACACAACTACTTCCACTTCGAAAATTTTACTAGGAATAACATTTACCATTTAGTTTAATTAATAAGCTGAGTTTTAAATATGTTTACTAAATTCATAAACTTAGATAAAACAACAAAATAAATTATTTCAAAAGGAACTAGACTAATACAATTCCAACCTGGCGAGTAGCGACTTATAACAACACACTTCATTTAATGTTTACTTGTTGCTAGAAATCAGGTTCGCAGAAAATGCTGTTTACTATACTAAACTGCAATGTTTCTTGACAATGGAGAAATATGCTGAGGGCAAACGAAGAAAATAGTTCCCGGCGCGATGTTTGTATTTCGAGGTAAATTACGCATTTCACAATAGAAATATGATAAGTTATCTTAACCCACACATATATAGCGTTAATTTACTATAATTTTCTTAAAATTTTATATATTTTCAAATTTACGAGCGGCGCATCGCGGAATGGTATCTTTATTTAGTTATATTTCTTCTATATAACGACTGAACTTATTTCTCCTTCTTCCTCCGCCAGCCGTGACGTCATTGTCAAGAAACTTTGCATTCTAGTATAGTTAAATTTAGTAGGAATAACACGACCTGTGACGTAGGCTATAGTATACCCAATTGCGAAACTGAGATGTTCTTTAAGACAGAGAATATATCAAATGGGATGGTAAGATAGCTCGATGATGATACATTTGAGTACCTGTGCTGCTTGAATAAGTGCACATTACGATGTGTCTGTTCTTGATTTGTATTTTCTTTTTTGCGTAAATGAATCATCTTTGTATTCGTTCATTAAAGGAACCCATTATTTAAATAGAATGCAATACCAGCGAATCTCTAATGCAGATTTTTCACATAAATATCATTTAATTATTTCTTTTAGTGCATGGGATGGACTTGGTATTTATCTACAGACACCCAAATATTTTTAGTGTGTTTATGTATCTGCGCCATCATGAGACGGTAGGTTGTGTTGCTTAGTAAAATAAAAATAAAATAAAATAAAAATTTAGTTATACTAATATCCTACTCTTATATTAAACTTTAAAGAAATAGTCTATCTGCTATTGCCACTAATTCTTGACAGTTTATGATGCATATTTACCTGATAGAAATTACTCCAGTAAATTTATAGGTTGTATTTAAAAAAAAAAATGGTAGTTAAAGATGGTAAAATTTCCCAAAAAATATATGGTAATAAAATATTCTTACTACCAGTTTTATATCTTTTTCAGATATGTAGCATTTTCAAAACGTAAAGTAATTACTGTGTCCTATAATTTCTATAAAATAATTATTCCACTTGGAAATATGCGATATGTCACATTAGTTATATTTTAACATTTAATTCTGGCAAAAAAAGCTCTCTAATATTTAAAAGATATTAAAATGTTATTTTTAAAGATTTCTAACGAAAAAATTATTTGAGTAGGGAACAATATTTGTAGTCTATTTTCTTTTCTCTCAGGTGAATATATTTAATGCAATTGAATTCGTAAAATCGCAATTTGAAAAAAAAAAAGCAAAGTTTATTTGCTTTACATAATTAATAAATAATACCATGTAAAATTTTAAGCAAATGAATAAATAATTTAATTTTAAACTTTCCTCAGATAATCTACTGTTTTCGTTTCGATTCCATTTTCTTCTGACAATTCTATGCAACCGTAATTTTCTTCATTATATGATGCGATCGCCAACGTTATAATTTAAAGCCTAAATTTGATTTATTAGAAACACCCAAATGCATAACAACCTATCATTATTAATTTAAAAGTATGAAACAAATAAAGTTAAAAAAATAACAGATTGGGCGTAATGGTGCTCTGTCGTTCAAACTGGTCACCAATATGGCAATTAATGAGGAACCTGCATGCTTTTTGTACTTTAAAATGAAACATCATGCTATTTTATAAAGATAGACACCAATTTCAGACCTGTGCGATAACTAATTATTTTGTTATTAATAATTAAAATCACTCGCTTAGCCCCCCCCCTAAATCGATGCTAGGTTTCCCATCCGCTCTGATGACGTCATAATATAGTACAACCACGACTCCCATCATGCTTCGAAACGGCGAATGCATGTGCCGCGCTGAGTATAAATTCTGAAAAATGGCTCCAAGCAAAAATTACAAGTGTTGCATTGTACCATGTTGCAAAGTTCTACATTAAACACGCCAAATAGATTATTTTTTAGTGTACCAAAAGGAGAAAAAAGACAAGTTTGGTGCAAAGCTATTAAAGTATCGTTAAAAATGATAAGGGTTTAGCATTATTTACATTTCTTCCAAAAATAAAAATTCAAAAAAATATTTTAGAAGTGAATAATAAAAAAGAATTTTTTTAAAAACTTTTATTTACCTAAAAACTTATAATTCCAGGTCATATACTATTCGTTCAATTCCCTCTAATTGGGATCAACTCATTAAATGAAAACTTTCAAAACAGTTCAGACTTTTATATATAGACAAATATAAGTAAAAATGAACCAGTACAAATAAAGAAAAATGAATTTACTTCAAAAGTTATTACAAGAAAAAGTAGTTTCGACATTTATTTTTTCATTCCTCAATTTTATTTTATTATGCTGAAGGGTTTTGAGTTAAAAAAATATTAATTAATTTTATCTAGAAGAAAAAATTATAAAAGTTAAGATAAAAAATGATAGGGGTTTAGCATTATTTACATTTCTTCCAACAAAAAAAAATGCAAGAACATATTTTAGAAGTTAATAATAAAAAATAATTTTTTAAAAAATTTCACACCCTTGATTTCTGCTCTAAAGAAATCTGTTGTTACATATGGCTTTATTGGAAATATTAATCCATATACAATGTTCAACTTTAAGTAGACATAAACAAGGAGTAAAAAGGAACAAAATTACAATAACAAACAAAGAAAATACATGACAAACGCATATTAACACAAAAAGAACACATAGATTAAATTAAAGTAAGAAAAAATATATATATACAGTGAAGAATGATGAGTAGTCTTTACAGAAAGTTCATGTGATCTCTGGCGTCCCAGTAAAGTTTACAGAGATCACCCCGCTCTTGGGATTGTTTGTCCAGTAAAGGGCATACAAGCAAGTGGTCTGAGTTCATGGTTCCTGAATTGCAGATTTGGCACTCACTAGATGGAAGGATACCTATTCTGTTGAGGTACTTTGCCAAGCAGTCATGGCCTGTTGAGAGTCTGAAGTTTGCCACAGCCTACTTACGAGGACTGTGACAAAATTTCTTCTAACTGTTTTGGATGTTAGCCCAGGGTTTTACAGTGGATTTTACTGCTTGGTTACGCATTAGGTCGGTCATAAGTTTCTCGGAAAATTGTTTTTTAAGGGAGTCTGGTGGAATCGGTTTATTACATTGTGGTTCGAGTGTCCCTTTCTTGGCTAGTTGGTCTGCCTTTTCATTGCCATTGATTCCTACATGCGAAGGGATCCACTGGAACATAATAATTTTGTTGGCATTCTCGAGAAAAATCAAATCATCTCTAATTTCTGAAATAGTCTGAGTATCTGAATCATGATTCATGGCAACTGCCTGGATAGCTGCCTTAGAGTCGACAAGGACTACTGCTTTAGTGAAATAATTGATCTTATTCTTAAGGTTTTCCAGGGCTATTGATATAGCGAAGATCTCTGCATCAAAATTTGACATATAGTATCCCACAGGGACGCTGTGAGAAAAGAGCTTACTGTGTACTCCTGCTCCGGTGCTGTCTTGTATTTTTGAGCCGTCAGTGTACACTCCCGTTCATTCTGGTTTAGGGTATTGCTCTTGTAGCATGCATAATGCATTTGATTTTAGTACTGTGTCAGGTATGTTTTTCTTACCCAAATCATTGATATCTAGTTGGTGCCTTACATCTATAAAATTGAGAGGGTTTGTGATGTTCTTGTTACAGATAATTGGCTCATCTACTTGGAAATCATGCTGTAAATTTTCATATACCTCTAGAGGAGAAATTTGGGTCTTCATGGAACTTGGTTTACATTCATTCATCCATTGCGCTCTATGGGAGGCTTTCATTTTAACATAAGTGCCAACTGCTTGTTTTTTAATTTCGGTGGTAATTGGTGGATTAGAAGTATAGTATTGTAGGGCTATAATTGGGCCTGTCTTCACTGCTTCCGTAATGATTCGGAGAGCATTGTTTTGGGCTCTTTCCAAAGAGTCGAGCTTTCCTTGTGCGCTAGAAATTAACACCGCACTTCCGTATTTGATAATTGGTTTGATATAGGTGTCATAAGTTTTATTTAGAGTGTGTTGTGAGCTTCCCCATTTGGCACCGGCTAGTCTTTTCAGAATTGAAGTTCTCTTTTCTACTTTGTCTATAACAGTATTGATATGATTGGTAAAGCTTAACTTGTTATCCANATTCATTCATCCATTGCGCTCTATGGGAGGCTTTCATTTTAACATAAGTGCCAACTGCTTGTTTTTTAATTTTGGTGGTAATTGGTGGATTAGAAGTACAGTATTGTAGGGCTATAATTGGGCCTGTCTTCACTGCTTCCGTATTGATTCGGAGAGCATTGTTTTGGACTCTTTCCAAAGAGTCGAACTTTCCTTGTGCGCTAGAAATTAACACCTCACTTCCGTATTTGATAATTGGTTTGATATAGGTGTCATAAGTTTTATTTAGAGTGTGTTGTGAGCTTCCCCATTTAGCACCGGCTAGTCTTTTCAGAATTGAAGTTCTCTTTTCTACTTTGTCTATAACAGTATTGATATGATTGGTAAAGCTTAACTTGTTATCCAGTACTACACCTAGATATGTGGTAATGCTACTTTTTTGAAGCTTACTATCATCTATTTTCAAATCAAAGTCTGGATTAACACGGCTTAGAGAGTAGAATTGGTTAACGGTTTTATTTTTGTTGATAATCATGTTATTCTCTTTGGGCCAAGACTGCAAGACCTCGAGAGCTTTATTCATAACACCTTCAAGATTATTCCTTTGATCTTCATATGCTTGGGAGTTTTCTGCTTCCGTCCAAATGACAACATCATCTGCGAACATACAAACGTTAATACCTTCCATACTTGTTAGCTTGTCTACCAAATCGTTGATGTAGATGTTAAATAGGGTACAGCTGCTTACTGCTCCTTGTGGTAGGCCGACTTTGCTCTGTTTGTAGGTAGATTCCTGTTCGATCCATCTTGTTTTTGCCCATCTTTGGAATAAGAACCTTCTGTACCATTTAAACATTTGTTTGCAAATTCCACAAGTTTGAAGTTTGGTTAGAAGTTTGCTTCTCCAAATTGTCTCGTAGGCTCCTTGAAAATCAACAAATACTGCCAAAGAACTTATCTTTGAACTGAAACCAGATTTAATTTTGTGAACCAACTTCATAATTGAGTTGGCGGTTGACATGTTTCTGAAACCCGACTGTTCTTCTGCTAGGATATCATTTGACTCCAGGTAAAACCCTAATCTTGCATTTATCATTCTTTCAAAAGTTTTGACCATGACGGATGTCAGAGAGATTGGTCGGTATGATTCTATGTCTTCGGGTGACTCACCCGGTTTTAGAATTGGAATGATTTTTGCTTTCAACCAGTTTGTTGGGAGGCTTGATTTTTCGTTCCAGATATAATTAATAATCATTAGTTCCTCGCTGATATTCCCAGGTGTTTCAGGAACTCGAGGAATATGTTATCGGGATCTAGTTGCTTACCGTATTTGAGGTCATGAATAGCCTTGTTCAATTCTTCTATTGCGAAGTCCTCCGTGAAAAGGTTTTCTGAGCACTTAAACTTAGATGTTCCTCTTTTTACTAGTTTGTTGTTTCTGTTCTCTTGTTTCTTTTGTTCTTTACTAAGTGAGTACCGATCAAGGTAAAAATTATTGAATAATTTTGCTATCTGTCTTGAATCACTTATATATTTGTTTCCTCTCTTTATGGGGTGATTATCTCTTCGTGTAAATTTATTGTTCAGGTTGTTCATTAATTGATAAGCTTTGCGTCTGTCTGTTCTATAGTCTAAATCGTTTAGACACTTATTCCATGCTTGTCGTTTAGCCTCTAAGACTTTTCTCTTCATTATTGCACATTCCTTTCGCCAATTGATTACATCTTTTTTTCCGTTCTTCATTAGTTTTCCCCTCTATCTTTTCAGCTTCTCTTCTTGCTTGCTCTCTGATATGTCTTTGTTCTTCAAGTTCAGTATTCCAAAATGGTTTGTAGTTAAATCTCTTGGAATGTTCCTTTTAGCACACTCTTGAAGGGCTAAGGAAAAAGTTGATACTAATTGTTGTGGAGTTGCATCAGTTTGAAAGCTGTTCACCTGATGTTCTATATCTTCAGTGAAGGCTTTCCAGTTAGCTTTCTTGAAGTTCCACATGATTTTTGTGTTACTTCTTGTCGGTATTTGATTTGTAGTGATTGATGTTTTTATCATTCGGTGACCGCTTCCCGGATCTCCAATTACTGATTTTTTACAACAGTCAACTAAGTTTGCGGAAACAATAGTTAGGTCAGGATTTGTAGAACTGACTGAAAAGTGGATGAAGGTGTTTGGATCATCTTTATTGTTAAGGACAAACATGGCATTGCTATTTACAAAGTTCTCGACAATTTGTCCTACTTGATTTTGATAAGTGTATCCCCAGTTGGGGGAAGCAGCGTTGAAGTCACCTACAATTATAGTGTTACGGTGAGAAGTTAAGCAATCTAAATTTAAATTTTTGTTGTTTGGAGGACTGTATATACCAAAAACCTTGAAAATAGTAGTCTTGTTCCAAATGCGACTGCGATATCTGATGTATCATGATTTTTCATTGTTTTCAACACTTCAAAGGACGATGTCAGTTTGCGTCGCACGGCCACAAGGATACCACTTGCGATCTGTCTGCTCTTGAAAAGACCATGCATGGTGAAAGATTCTAATTTGTAGAACTTCATTTTGTCTTCTGTAATATTTGCTTCTTGAACGACCGGGATGTCGATGTTCTCCTGTGCGACTACTCTCTTAATATCTGAAAACTTTGCAGAAGAAAGCCCTCCGGCATTCGACTGCAGGATAGAAAAACTAAAACTCCTTGCTCTATTTGTACTTATCGCCTTAGCCATCGCCGTTACTCATTTAGCACCACCCAGGAGGCACGTGTGATTTAAGGATATCACGGACGCGAGTAACATTGCCTTCCTAAAGAAATCTAGATTCTTCTCAAAAAAAGAAATTAAAGAAAAGTAATCTATCTTCTGTAGATTGTCCGATTGACCTTTAACAAAATCTTTCTCCACTTGCATTGTACTAAGAAGTTAATACAATTTTCTCAAATAAATGCAATTCAAATTAAAACGCCTTTGTAAAACGCCATTTGCCGAGTTACTATACTTTGACGTCATAAGCAAACCCCGCCTCATTTTGTGTCACGTGTAGTTAGTTTCGTTTTGGGGTAATTTTAAGTTAAAATTTTTCAAAATTCGGGACAGTTTTTTTAATTTTAAGTTAAAATTTTTCAAAATTCGGGACAGTTTTTTGAATTCTGTATTGATTTTAGAGAGTTTTAAGATATAGACTGTTTAAAAAAATCAACATTCTGCGATTACCCAACGCATACAGGTTCCTCATTACCCATGTGATCGACGGCAGCCAATCTAAATCGAAAGCGGCCCAAAGGTCGTGGGGAAAAGAGCGACGCAATTTAAGCTATTTAGTGAAAAGAAGGATAGTTTGCAGAGAGTCAGTATAGAATTGTTTCCGTATTTTTGTCCAACCCCTGAAGTTTTTACTCCTTTGTTATGTTGAAGTAAAAAAAGAGTATTATTATTTTTTTAATAATTATTGTAGGAGGTCAGGAAGAGGATTCTTATTAGCTGGATTGATAGTAGTTATGGGTGTTTTGCTATCAGCATGTTCTCATCTATATTACAAACTTCCTCCAACTTATCTTCTTTCCTATTTGCATTTCGAGTAAGTTATTTAGTGTTGAATTTCTGAAATATTTAACTTTGTAGGTTTCTCATCTATATTACAAGTTTCTTCCGACTTATTTTCTTTCGTATTTGCATTTCGAGTAAGAATAAGCATATTCCACCACACCCTTAATTGGGTATTCGGATTTGACAATTAGCCGTCACGAAAGCAACCCGTACAGCCCGAAGGCCAAGCAATTTGCTGACACAAGGCAAGAGCCCGAGTCATGCATAACAAAAGAATATCATAGTCGCGTCCGAAAGCAAGGAAACCAAAAGTACAAAGACTGAACCTTTGCAGCACAAAGGCAGCGAGTTCAAACCCCCACACCCCTGAGGATGATTTTGAGACATATACATACGTCACCATCCTTTTTTACAGGGAGGACGCATTCACGCTGATTTTGACCTGAACTAGAGCACGATCAATCTCCGATCCAGTACCTTCAGAGGTACTGATTTGTTATGGAAACTTCGAAAACTTTGGGAACCCGATAGATTTAGAGTGCTCCTATCACCATTTGTCTTCATGCGACGGATAAATATCTNATATTGGTAAAACATACCATGTTCACATGTGCCCCCTGTTCACATGTGCCCCCCTCTCCCCTATCTCTGAATTTGTAACATGTTTTACGGTCGATGTATTTTTTTCTTTCAATTTTTAAATACTGTTCTTTTTTACAGTGATTGGTTTTTTTATGCTGTCAAAGGATACACACAACCTCATTTTCACATTCCTGTTAGTGCTGTTGGATTAATTGTTGGTTACATCTTGGCGACAAAAAGAGGCCATATACCAAAAGTATTTTCTTGTTTATTTTAAAAATTTTTTCAGTGTATCAAAAAACATTTTGCTTTCATTCTTGACTGTTTTGTGTTTTAGTACGGAAAATTTGTAAGTGAATATAAGAGAAAAAAAATAATATCAAAATTTTTTTAGACCAATTTCTTAAGTGTTCTTGGATCATTATTTAAACTTTAAAAAAACACAAGTATGCAATTTTTTAAGATATTTTTAAAAAATAAATTATAATTTACTCCCTGCTAAAGTATATTAGATATCTTTAAATGTAAAATATTTCTCCTCTATAGCTATTGTAAAATTAAAATATACGCAATAAATTCAATAATACTTATTTCACTTCTTAGTTAAAGGTAAAATTAAAATTACGTTACCTGTATTTTCTTTTGACGCTTCTTCAAGTTTCTATTTCTTAGGGAGAAGACGGACCGGTTTTCTTTCGCTTTTCTTGAAAAAAAAAAGATGTCATTATTAAAATCTAGGAGGCTTCGCCCCCTGCTCGCTGGCGCTCACCAACCCCCGGAACTGCTTTCACAGTTCATTTCGGATTGCTTCGCAATCCNACGGACCGGTTTTCTTTCGCTTTTCTTGAAAAAAAAAAGACGTCATTATTAAAAACTAGGAGGCTTCGCCCCCTGCTCGCTGGCGCTCACCAACCCCCGGAACTGCTTTCACAGTTCATTTCGGATTACTTCGCAATCCAATGCTCGCTTTGCTCGCTCATTGGATACGTTCTTAACGACTAGTTTTTGTATACTTTTTTGAACACTGAAGTTCCAAAAAATTTTCACTCTAGAAAATTTTAAACCTGTACATTTCAATATTAATTTGAAATTGCAAACAGTTCACATATTTTTCTTAATCACACTATTCTAAATTTCAGTTGTTGAGAAAAGTAACTGTTGTAAGTTTTGTTTTAAAGTCTTTCCCACCAGAGGGCTAAAGCCATGTGCTGCAAAACAATATGAAATAGTAGTTTGCCACTGAACGCCGGATGTAAAGCATCGGCTTTGATGAAAATAAATTTGTATTTTTAATTCTCTGAAGGGCGCCACCTTAATAATATGGAATTTGTAAAATAAATGTATATATTTTTGATTGTTGATGAAGCCCATCATTTTGTGTTTTCATCAGTGTTCAGAAGCAGAACAACTATAAGTTTTTTATTTAATCACAAAAAATAAAATGTATAAAAAACAAAGAAAATGAGTATAGTCATAGAAAAAGTTAAAATTATAATGTAGTATTTGTCAGTTAAAATAAAACTTTTTGTTTAAGTCATTGCTAACAATTCAAATTTCTCCGAGGCAATTCTAAAGTATAAATTAAGGTAGTATTGTTAAGTTGAAACACAATATTTTTAGTTTTGATGTCAACAATACAATTCAATTTTTCACAAAAACGATTGTTTCCATTGTTAAGTTCAATGTCAACAATTCAAATTTTTCTGAGGCAACTCTTAACCTCTAAATATTATTTTTTTTATGTACACATTTCTAAATGTCAGTATTCAACCACAAAACAACTTAAAGTCCTCAAATTTAGCATGAAGTTGTAAAATGTAATGAAAGAGGGTCATAGCAATAATGAAAGTAGAAGTAAAGTTAGTACTGTAAAATTAAAACAATATTTTTAATCAATGAGCCAAGTTCTTCAAGAAGCAGTTGTAGAAGTAGGTTGTTTATTTAAAACTTTTTATAGAATTTCTTTAAGAACACAATTGTTAATTTGGGCATTTGGCGATACAACACTTTTAGAATTGAAGGATTTGTTACGTCAAGCGCTCAGGTATCATAATTTTGATCTAGTTGCGCTTCTATGTCATTTTGATTTATGTTGCTAAGTTAACTTTCAAAAAATTCTATGGCTGGCAACAGCATTTTTATTTTTTAAGTTGTTTATTTTTATTTCTTTTAGAATTCGTTATTTTTTTAGCGAAATGTTTTTTAACCTAACAGAATTCTTTGCCGACTGTTTTCTCTATGAATGAAGAAAATAAAGTAAATATTTAACTGTTGTGAAAAGAATCTTATTTAGTTGTACAAAGTACTTCAGCCAAAATTTGGGAGCCACGTAAGAGAATTATATATATTAGATCAGAAACACATCATTAAAAGGCAGAATGCTTTGGTGTTTTCAAAACAAAGCAAACGTTGCCACCGGCGGAAAAGAAATACAGCCAAAACTCGGGAGCCACGAAAGAGAATTATATATAATAGATAAACAAGGTCTGCTATTGAAGGAATCAACTCCTGTCCATTGTTTGAAAACATTTAATATTTAAACAAAATCGTAGCAGACAAGATTAAACGAAAAATTAATATTTTGAAAATGAACAGAGCATTTCAACATCTTCACTCGGAGGAAATTTAAAAGCTCTTTTATATCTGAATATACATTTTCATTTTCTATTTTATTATAGTCTAATACTAAATTTGGCGGTAATATTTTAAGCAACATAGGACACAATACATGTCCGTAATTTTCCGGTTTCAATTTTAATGGTTCTAAACTGCGTATATGTGTCATGCAATTATCATAAAATTTTCTGAAAACGCGAATATCGTTTGAACTTTTTAATGATTGCATATTTAAAATAGCGCTCATATTTGTGTGAATAAGTAAATCTTTTTCAGCAAATCTATCTTTTAATAATTCAATTGCGGAATAATACGAGTTCGATATTGAAAAACCCTCAACCGTATTTAAATCAAACCCACCTAAATCTGCTTTTAAATAGTTAAATTTATCTACTTTATCTAATGATTCATTATTGTGTATCGCTGTTTCGAAACTATTCCAAAAGGTTAGCCATTGGTTGACATCACCATAAAATTTCGCGATACTCAGTTTCGGGAGTTGAATGCTCACCTTTCCTGCTGCTGTTTCATTTATTTCTGTTTTATTTACCGAACGTTGTAAGCTAATATTGTCGCTTACCACACTCTTTACAGACGTTTGCATTTCATTAATTTTCTTTTTTGCTCGAAGTTTAGAAATAACAACCTCATTTTGATACTCTTCGGTTTTTTCAAATTTGATTGATATTCATCATCGTTGAGGAGGGGTTCTAGTTCTTTATCAACAGAACTCAAAGAATCAAATTTATTTGTTAATGTTTCAATTAATTCTTCTACACTAACATCTATATCTTCCGTTTTCTAAAGTTCTGCATCTAATTTAGTCAGTGAATTTGTTACGCTTGTTCTTAATTAACCTCGTTTTCTTTTTAACTGTTTAATTTTCTCATCTGACGACATCTTTTTAAATTTAATAAATCAATTCGGTTAATACACGATCTTTTAAGAAAAACTAATCGTTCTTCTCATCCCGGCGAGGATGCCATGTAAAATTAAAATATACTCAATAAATTCAATAATATTTATTTCACTTCTTAGTTAAAGGTGAAGGTACAATTTCGTTACCTGTATTTTCTTTTGACGCTTCTTCAAGTTTCTGTTTCTCGGGGAGAAGACGAACCGCTTTTCTTTTGCTTCAAAAGATCACTACTCTTGAAAAAAAGATGTCATTATTAAAAATAAAACAAGTTCTGCCATTAAAGGAATTAATTCCAGTCCATTTTTTGAAAACATTTAATATTTAAACAAAAATGTAGCAGACAACATCAAACGAAACATTAATATTTTGAAAATGAACAGAACATTTCAACCTCTTCACTCGGAGGTGCTGCTTTTTTTTTCAAACGAAGTTAAGTCTCAGTTACGGTTAAATTTTAAAGTCAGATAGTTCCTCGGAGTTTCTCGACAGCTATGCTTTAATTTGTTCCACAGTTCTTCGAACTTTCATGCATGCAGAGAATAGTGGAACAAAACTAATAAATAGAGGCATATGATTGCAGCGCGTTAACACTCAATGTTTAACACCACGAATTGAATTTATCAGTGTTTCTTCCTTTAAATACACGTTTGAACAGTACGTTCAATTTTTATGATTTTATTATGACGAAAAGTCAACGCATTTTAAAATTGTATGAAAAATACAGTTAAATGTAGCTTTTTTCAAAATTTTTAAGTCGATATACTAATGGAAAAGTTTTGATTTAAACTAACACTTATATTGCATTACAGAAAAGAGGAGCAAGAATTAAGATTATTAGAGAGATTTTGCATAGGGCTATGATTCCCCCTTCTTCTTCTTGCTTGAGCTTGTCAGATATGTGGCACCTCTGCATTTGTTGCATTTTGTACCATACTCCAAGCCCAATTTTTCCAAGTTCCACTGTCTTGAGTCGCCTACTTTGTTTATATAATCTGACAGTCCCTTAATGGAGTTAAGGTGAAGCTCTTTAGGATATGGATTGCCTAAGGTAGTGAGGCGCGTAAGGGCGAGGGCACCACCCTCGTATAGGATGTGATCTGCTGATTCTACCGCTTCACGACATTTCCGACATATTGCTTCTTGTTCGAAAAGTCCCATTTTATGTAGATGTTTCCTAAAATGATAGTGATGATTCCCCCTAACTTTAATGTTAACACTAGTTGAGCTTCACTGAGCATGCGCAAAAATTTCTTTGCAAATCATCTTGTCCTTCAAGGCGTAAAAACTAAAGCTAAAAAGTTACTGTCAACCTACGGCAAATGCTATGCAAACGTTCTCTATTTTTGTCTCACTTAAATATGTAATTACGTAGGGAGAGTAGATAAGAAAAAAAAATATCGTCTCTAGCACACCAAAGATGGGTGATGCACACGCTCACTTTTCAACAACCTACACTTTTAAAAATCTAATTTGACCAAATAATTTTATAGCCAAAAAGTTTAAATTTAATTTCAGAAAAGGTTGTTTATCATGTTAATTACCGTAATATGATTAAATTCGCAAGTTATATATTCTAAATTTGCATTAATATAGCAGAACCTGCTCTTGTTGAATTAAATAATATTAAATACAAAATGGTCTTGCTTGTTTTTCTTCTGGATACACAAAATGATAACAAAATTAATTGAAAGTAAATTTAAAAAAAAAAACTAAAATCACTTCAAATTTAACACTTTAGTAACGCATTAGTTTCAGCATATAGTGTTAATGCATATAGTTTTATACAATAATATTTTAGGAATTTTGACTCATAATAAAACTGTTCATTATAACTGCTGACTAAATTAAACTTTTTATGAACAGCGGATCAATGCCATAGGATGGTTTTTGTCACTTATGGCATTCCTTAGTATAATTACTTTGAACTATAAGTGGAACCAAGGAATGGAACATGAATCAGGCCTCTTTGTTTCAACTTTATATGGCTGTACTAACAGACTGGCTTGGGGTCTGTGCCTAGCATTTATGACATTATCCTGTAGTTGGGGTCAAGGCGGTAAGTTAATTTCTTGCAGTTTAAGAGAAAAAATTCACTATCTTTTGGATGCGAAAAATCTTCTATGAATTGTAAAAACGATTTATATCTGAGACATTGAAATATTCTTATAAATCTCTTTTTTCACATAACTTTTGCAATATTTTTTATAAGGAGCTATAACATAGAGTCCTGTGACCAGACGGTGTTTCTGTACTTTTATTTTAGCAACGATCTATGTGTAGCATAGATAGTTGCTAAAAAAAAAATAACTGTAATATTCACACAAATAACTATCATTCATTGATCTTTCGCACTCTGTTATCATTTATATGTAGACAACAAAAGCCCCAATCTAAAACTTAAAACTTTCTCATCCTCATAATTGGTAACCACAGTATTTTATGAAGCTTAAAAATATATAAAAATGTTGCTTATAGTGTTAACGATTTAGTGTTTACATTAGTTCAAACATATTAAGGTACTGGGAATTCAATAGGTTAATGCCTGGTCTCGAATGAAATAATGATGCGTAAAATGATCTTAAAAAACGATGCAATAGTTGAGATTTATTTGCATTAAGTTAATATTAATTCTACGGAAAATTCTGTCTGTGAAAAAACTCATCAAATGATACAAGGATGCAAAAGTTGACTTTGTGAAATAAAAAGGTAGAACGTTTATCCTTAAATGTATATGCTACTGTGAGTGACTGAAATCAAGAAAATGTCGACTTTCACTGGTGAATGTCAACAATCACTTAGGTGAATGTCCGAAATATTTGTTACATCCGAATTGGTATTAATTTATTCAATAATATTGTTATAATTATTCGATATTTTAATATCTGCCGAGGATAACAGGAGAAACATCAGCGTTCGGAATACCGGTTAAATGCTCACTGGGCAGTGGCACTTGGCCTTAAAAAGACTTGATATAGGGCAAATGTATACCGGGCAGTGGCACTTAACTAGACCTAGAATATATTTACCAAAGCGGCAATGCCATTGTCAACATTCACCGGTGGGAGTCAACAACCTCAAATTTCGGTCATTCACAGTAACATATATATTAGGTGAACCGCTTAGTTTTGTGGGTTAATTTCGAAACAAGTTTAAATGTGCACGCACCATGCTCTTTTGCGCCATATATGCTGATTTTTTTTAAAAAAAATAGAATATTAGCATTTGTAGGGGAAGTTTGGGTTTATTTGTACTATTACCAATTCACATAAATAATGAAAGGCCAGAAATTAATTAACTCTAAATATTTATTGAAAAGGACAAAACACATAAAATAAAACAAGAATAAAAAAAATACAAGAATTTGGAAGAGGGGGTTTTGGGCTCGAATTAAACGTCCGTACTTTACGGCGGTTCCTGGCAGACTGTCTTAGTTCACCGCCAGAGGCGCTGTAGTGGGGGAAAAAGGAAAGCTTGTCACACTCCCCCTCTGGTTCCGATTAAACGTCTCGTTGAGGGACCAGCACTTTTTGGTCTTTTGTTTCTTCTGAGGGCCATCAAGGTTTTTGGATCAGGATCAAGAGTCTTTGGTCTGCCTCGTTTACGTAAAGGTGCCACCGGCCCTGCATTTTCATCAGAACAGTTTTTCAATGCAGATACATGATACTGTCCTAACGGTTCATTTGGCTTATCAACGTGGGCCACTTCATACGATGTTGGGGACCTTTGGGTGAGGATGATGTACTGTCCATCTCTCTTTGGCATGAACTTGGCCGACTTTGATTTTGCAGCATTGCTCTTAGGATGCAAAGTAACCCCTACTTTATCACCAGGTGTGTACTGTGGTGGGTTTTGACGCTTTTGATCTGCGTAGGTTTCTCTCTGATCTTGCTTGGATTCAACTCTATCTCGGATGTCATTAGAGATATTGACTAATTTTTTTAGGTAGGGAGTGATCTCGGGCACGAAATTATCGTTGTTGACGATGGCACGAAAATCACTCGTAACGTCATCTATGGTTCTCATTTCTCGTCCAAACATGAGAAACGATGCTGTTTCGCCAGTTGTTTCACACTTTGCACTGTTCATGGCGAATCTAATCATAGGAAGTTTTTCAGCCCAGGAAGTGTGATCTTGTCGCACAAGGATTGCAAGACGTGGCTTCAGGTCACGATTTTTCCGCTCTACAGGGTTTGCCTGTGGGTGATATACTGGTGTGAGGTTCTGATCTATTTTCAAAAAGAAACACAATTGCTGCATGACAACAGAGACGAACTGAGTTCCGTTATCACTTATTATTCCTCGAGGAATCCCATAGCGAAGAAAGATCTCTTCTACAAGAACAGTAGCGCATTCTTTAGCAGTGGCTGTAGGAGAGAAAATAATTCTACCCACTTAGTTAAACAATCTTCCACTATAAAAACCCAGGATTTACCCTCTTTAGTTGTGGGTAAAGGTTCAAAGAGATCTTTTGCTAAGGTTTTAAATCGTTGGCTGTATATTGGTGTCTGTAGAAGTCCACAAGGTTTTTGATTACTGGCTTTGTATTTGGCGCATTCAACACATTTCTTAACATAGTCAGCTATGAAGGATCTCATACCAGTCCAATAGTATCGTTGATTTATTCTATTTAATGTTCCCTCTACTCCGTAGTGTCCAGCACTTGGAGCGTCATGGTGTAATTTTAAAATTTGCGCTCTNTGTCTGCAGAAGTCCACAAGGTTTTTGATTACTGGCTTTGTATCTGGCGCATTCAACACAGCTCTTAACATAGTCAGCTATGAAGGATCTCATACCAGTCCAATAGTATCGTTGATTTATTCTTTTTAATGTTCCCTCTACTCCGTAGTGTCCAGCACTTAGAGCGTCATGGTGTAATTTTAAAATCTGCGCTCTTTCATGTAAGGGTACTACCAACTGTGCTTCTTCAGTATCTGAAGCAGGAGAATATCGGAATAATACGCCTTGGTTCATTATATATCCTCTTTGTGTCCAATTGGAATAGTCTACTCCTTTTTCTGGATCTTCAAAACATGTAATTATTTTCTTAAGTTCTTCATCTTTCATTTGCTCCTCTCTTATTTCTTTGGGTGTTTTCTTAGGGAAGTCTACGGAAATTGTGGAAGCTTCGCAGAATACTTCATCAGTTTGACATATGGGTCTTGAAAGCATGTCTGCCACATAGTTCGATTTCCCGGGGAGGTATTCTATCTTAAGATTGAACTCTTACAGCTGCAGGGCCCATCTCGCGAGTCTTCCAGATGGAGATTTTAAACTCATGAGCCATCTGAGAAGTTGATGATCGGACGAAACGATGACCTCGGTGCCTTCCACGTATCCTCGGAATTTCTGAAATGCCCAAATGACAGCAAGGGCCTCACGCTCTGTTGTCGAGTAATTCCTTTCGGCAGAACTCAGCAATCAGCTTGCGTATTCTACAGGATGTTCTTGAGTTTCGTGTTTTTGCAAAAGGACAGCACCCAAAGCGTAGTTACTAGCGTCTGTCCGTATGAGGAATGGTTTAGTTTCATCCGCTTGCTTTAGAATCGGAGGAGAAATCAAGAATTTTTTCAGTTCTTCAAATGCTTTTTGCTGCTCAACACCCCATTCCCAAGAGGCATTTTTCTTTGTCAAATTGGTAAGTGGTCTGGCAATTTCGGAAAAACCAGGAATAAATTTTCGATACCATGAACACGTTTGTATAAACGACTGAACTTGTTTCACGCTTCTTGGAGAAGGCATGGAGGTAATGGCATTTACTTTATCTGGGTCTGTTTCAATTCCCTCAGATGTTATCCAAAGTCCTAGATACTTTACTTTAGAACATGCAAATTTGCATTTCTTTCTATTTGCACTAAGTCGAAATTTGTCAAGACGGTCAAAGACATCTTTCAGATCTTGGAAAGGTAGGAGACAACACAAACAGATCATCTGGGTAAACCAGCAGTTTTACTGAAGGAAGTCCGTTACGGAAACAATCCATCAGGCGTTGGAACGTTGCTACAGCGTTTCGTAAACCAAAAGACATTCTTTTGAATCGGAAAGTGCCCTAAGAACAGATTAATGCTGTTTTATCTCTGTAAGCTGGGTTAACTTCTACCTGATGATAGCTAGCTGTTAAGTCAATGGTTGACATATATTTACATGTTTTTGCATCATACCATAAATCATCCATTCTGGGTAACGGATATGTATCGGGTAAAGTTTTCTCATTTAGTTTTCGATAGTCCACGCAGAGTCTATAACCGTTCGGTTTTGGANTGGTTGACATATATTTACATGTTTTTGTATCATGCCATAAATCATCCATTCTGGGTAACGGATATGTATCGGGTAAAGTTTTCTCATTTAGTTTTCGATAGTCCACGCAGAGTCTTTAACCGTTCGGTTTTGAAACTAAAACCACGGGTGCGGCATAAGGCGAATCGCACTCTTCAATTATACCCTTCTCAAGCAAATCATCAATTTGTCTCTTCAACTCTTCTTTCTTAGAAGGAGGTAATCTGTACGGGGGAACAGACACAGGAGGATGATCACCAGTATTGATGTAATGTTTTGCATATGGAGTAGCAACTCCCCCTGGTTCGAAGATTCTTTCATACTGTTTCAACAGGGGGTTAAGTTTGTTTTTTTCTTCACTTGACAGTTGTTGACCTTCTTCCTCTCTCAGTTGACAAGTATTGGATTCAGCATATGGCATATTCTTGATATCACACAAATTGGCTTCCTCAGCAAAATAAAATTTTCGTCGGGGAAGATCGTTAATGAACCATCTGCGACTTTTCAGATCAAGGACGATACCAGCGTCTTGAAGAAAATCTGTACCAAGGAGAGTACGATTATCTTTTGCATGGGGTAATGCAATTAAGTTTGTTTTAAAGACTCTTCCTTCAAGTTCTATATCTACCGAAGTAGTGAAGGCTTCCACTTGTCGTTTTTCTCCATCAGCAAGTGTCATAGTGAGTTGGGTCTCTTGAAAGTCTGCACCTTCTTGTTTGAGAATTTGATACAACCGTTCTCCAGCAATACAATGGCTTGCTCCACTGTAAGCACATGCAGTACCTAAGAGTCCATTTACTGTTATACTCAAAATAGCTAATTGTGATGATTCGTCTACACATGACTGG